TCTTGTTTCTGGGGCCACTTGCACCCAGCCTGTGGACCAAAGACTATATTCTGAACGTTTCCTGATGCTGGTTTGTGGTCCCCTATTAACTTCCCTAACAAACCACTGTAAGTTGTCTTTCTGTGAGTTCTGGGTGGCCATTACAAAGAATTCCGGCACCCAGCAGAGAGGCAGAATGTTCTGGAGGACTGGGTGGTATCGAAGAAGGGAATAAGGAGGATGGAGGTGGAGGCCTGACTTCCATCTTGTGGTAATGGGCCTCCAGTCGCTGTACAGTTGTCTTCTCCACGCCTGTGCAGCCAGGTCAGACGTGGCCTCTGCCATTTCCTCACATGCTCAGGACCCAGTGGGGCGTGGCACACACTGGCGGCTCATTTGAGATTGGTTGAATAAAGGAATATAAAACGAAAATGTATCTGTTGTTAGTGGGAACATGGGTCGGCTTGAACATTCCTCCTGTAACACTACGCTGTTTCACAGCGGAGTCCCTCTGTGGGATGGACAATTGCTGTGCTCAGCTGCTAATGAAGGACTTGGCCTTCTGAAGTCAGCCACGGAAACGCCTGTGGGGCAGTTCCACCTGACACTTGGGGGGATGGAGGGCACTGAATCAAATCCCTGACAATTCTTAGAATAAGAATGAAGAACTCTGTTCTTGAGTCATCTCTTGTCTGCTTGATAGGTACCTCGGAGGCAGTGGTTCTCAACCTCCCAATGTGACAGTTTTAACACAGTGCCTCATGTGGTGGTGACCCCCACCAGCCATAACATTATTTTTGTTGCTACTTCATCACTGTCATTGTGCTACTGCTATGAATCGGGCGACCCCTGTGAAAAGGTTGTTCAACACCCCCCCCAGAGGGGTCCCGACCCCCAGGTTGAGAACCACTGCTAAGGTCTCTAGAAGGCACCTCATTCCATCATGTCCCAAAGGAGTATCAGTTTTAGCTCCAAACCCACTTCTTTCAGTCTTCACTTGATCAATAAGTGGTTCATTAGGTATTGCCTGGAGTTATCAAACTCCAAGTCAGTTTGGGAGTTATTCGTAAGTGTTTTCCTTTCCTCCACCCCTGCCTTCAACTCCTCAGAAGGCCCATTGGCATTACCTCATGAATGCATTGTTCTCTCTCTGTCTGCTGCATTTGCCTTTATTTTCTACCAAGAATTCTGCAATATCCTAGCAGGTTTTCCCAACATCAGTAATTTTGCAATTTTAACAGTTTTAATGTTATATAATTCACAAATCATGCAATAGTTTAAGCATATTAAAAAGGGTTGTGCAATCATCACTACGATCAATTTTAGAACTTTTTCTTTTTTTTGTACTCACCATTATCTCCCCATCCCCCCTAATCTCCCCGCCCATAACCTTAAGAAACTATTAATCAAGTTACTGTCTTTATCAATTTACCTATCCTGGATTTCACATCCAGAAGAACACACAAAATGCTTAAAACCCAAAAATAACAAAACAAGGACAAACCTCAATCAAAAAAGAAAGTAGAAAATAAAACCTAGAGCGAATTTAAAATGAATCAAAAGGGAGCCTAACAGTGTTAAACTCTTAACCAAACTACATCTGCCTTAGTCTACTCTCCAGTGCAGTCTGGCTGATAACAAGGCCACTCATACCTCAGGTCTGTAATGGGAGGCTTCATCTACACGGGGACACTGCAAACAGATTTGGGGCTTTCAGTGCCTTGTGCACACTGGGTGCTCAGAATTTAAGCTCAAATACCATTCCCTCCTCCGGTCCCTGGATTTTAGTATTTACAATACTCGGATCACAGGCTACTTCTATGTGGACTCAGCTGACACCTCACTTAGTTGGTTGTGATTTACTTTGTTCTACAAATCATCCTCTAAGCACTTGGGACACATCAACAGGAAAAACAGCACCCTCCCCCCAAATCTGTCTACATGCTTGCGAGGGCAGACAGACAAACATTCCCTTTATACAGTACCTTAGGTGGGAAGCACAGTCTTCTCTTCTGGGAACCACCACACTAGGACTGCGTGGGCATGTAGTGCTGCTCACCAGTATGTTTGCCAGAGGCTTGTGTTAGGAGGCGCTGAGCCCCAACACCTGGGGGAACCTAGGCTCTGTCCGCAGCCAGACCGGACCCCTTGCCCCAGGGAGGATGCCCTTGTCTAAAAGAGCTCTGATTAGGCATCAGGCCCTCGGTGATCCCTGCCATTCATAGCTTGGGGTACATACAGGGCAACCCGCCACACCAGCCCCTGCCGGTCTCTGCAGACCAAGCCCAGCTGCTTGGGCGAGTCGGAGGGGGAGGACAGTGGGGCTGGGGGTGTGCAAGAGCAGGGAGCGGGGGCGCAAGGGGCGGGGGCAGGGGCAGGGGCAAGGGCAAGGGCAGGAGCACGGAGGCCAGCGGGACCTGTCTCAAGTTCACCACTCTCTCAAGTCCAATGGTAACCTCAACAAACCTGACCGCTCTGGCCACTGCTAACTGGACCTCCATCTGCTTCCACCTCCACCATGGGCACCTCTGATAAACCTGTGAGCCAGCCCTGCCCCTGCCACTCTTTCTGGGATCAGGGCCCCTTGGGACCCCCTCACTGTCCCAAGGAAAACTTGACCCACTGGCTACTCTCTGGGCGTGAGGCTGCCGCGGAGGGGCCCCTCGCACTCTCGGGAGGGAACCAACCCCAGCTCCAACTACCACCCTCGCCAGCCACCCTCCCCTCCCCCGTCGCTGTCTCTCCTGTGCACAGGAGCACCAAGAGTGACCCTTCCCCTCCCACCTCCGCTCCTTTGGCCCCAGCCCCGAAGCCCCTGTGTCCCCTGTCTCGTGGGTGTGGGCTGTGCAGGCAGGGGCAGATGGGAGCCCCAGGAGTGGAGTTGTAGAGGCGGCGGCAGCATCGGAACACGTAGCTAGGGAGGTGACCAGGGCACGCAGGCAGGCGGGCAGCCTTGGCGAGGCGCAGGCAGTGTGCTGGTTGTGTCCCGTGGTCGGGGCGGCCCGTGGGAGCGCAGGAGGGCGGGTAGCAGTGGCAGGCTTAGGGCGAGCAGGAGGCTGCAGGCATCTATGGCCAAACCACCCTGAAGGCGGCCGACCTCGTCAAATAGGAACATCTGTGACATATGGTACTTCTGGGCGGAATCACTTCATCAACAGCACATGACTCCAACACTCTTTCTCCCTCACAGCCATCGACAGGACAAAGGCCGTTAATATGGCTGTGTGATGCTGCATCATCACATGCAGCACAGCTGCCTGGTGGTGGAGCACACCAGTGGTGTGAGAAATCAACTCTGGTTTTTGAAGTCACTGAGATTGTAGACTGTTGGACATTGTGGGGTACCAGCCTCCACAGTTGAACAGGTAGAAGAGGCGGTTGTGTAATTGAGGGGTAAAATTAGAGATGTCAGACAAAATAAAGCATGCAAGTGCTCACCTTCGGGACCACCATGACTTCAAGAGCCTGATCCGCAGAGAACAGATCTATTTCCCACCAATATACACTTATATATACTCTAGGGGCGTGCCAGTCCCCCTAATGACAGGCAACCACATGTGTAATAGGAAGGGTTGTACAATAGGCATACTGTGACAGGAAGGCACACAGGTAACAAGGTAGGTGGGCTCTAGAGTCGAGATGGCAGCCTAACCTTGGTCCTCCCTGAGTTGGCTGGACCTCATGTATCTTTGGGCTCTCCTTCAGGGGAACAATCTATTATCCTTTTCAGAAGGGAGTGGGACAAAAAATCGGGCCTGATTGCCTTAGATGGCTGACAACCTTCAGGCAGTTGACCTCCAAGTATAGTCAGCGACCATGTGTTTGCAAACAGCACCTTAGGTTTGGCATTTATTATGGGGGGAAGACAACCTGAGGAATACCTTTTCTGTTTCCCTCAGGACATAACCTAACTTAGCAGACCGTCAAGTTTGACTTTGTCTTGCTCGTCACAGTATTTCCTGAAACTTTTAGCTTTACTACACTGGGTAGTTTTTATCCAGCATCATGGATAAAGCTGCTTTCCACCTGGGCCAAGCGTCTCCTTGTGTTATACATCTTAGATTCGACAGAGTGGCAGTGTTCTCTAGAGGCACGTGTAGGAGAAAAATGGCCCACAGGTACCACTTCAGAAATCTGCATTAGTTTGGTAGATGACCTCTATGTGTGAATCTATGATCTCAATTAAAAACAAAAATCAAAATGCTTACTACATGCATTACTACCTGTAAAATGTGTCTTGTTGAGGGAATTTAGATTAGTAACGGACCCAAGGTTACAGGGCTAAAAAGACAGGCTGAGAGTTACACTCAGGTCTGTGCAGCAACAAGGCTCAGACGCAATGGCTCAGCTCCTCTAAGTTGGTAACCCCCAAGGTACATGAGTGACTTAGGGTCCAAGGGGTTAGTTAAAAAAATAACTCTGTCACTTTAAAGGGTTTGGTTTGTGCTTGCTGTGAATATGGTTTAAATAAAATAAATAAAAATGCTTTTGCTCTAGTGGAAGGTGTCAGAAACTAGGTAATAGAGGTGTTCTCAAGGCCACTGAAGGTGCCCTGGTGGCACAATGGTTAAGTGCTCGGCTGCTAACCAAATACCGACCTGGCAAAGCTCTAAGGGGAGAAAAGACCTAGCAATTTGCTCCCAGAAAGATGACAGCCTAGGAAACTATGGGGGCAGTTCTACTCTGTCACACATGGTCACTTTGGTGGCACTGTGGATTCGAACACACCAGTTGCTCCGAGGAGAAAGATGAGGCTCTCTGCTCCCGGAAAGGTTGACGGCCTCAGAGAACCTATGTAGGGGTCACTATGGGTCAGAATCAAACGATGGCAGGGGGATGGGAACGAGTCAGAATCAACTAGACTGTCTCCAACAACAACATTATGACTACAGGAAGTAAAAGATTTCATTCTTAGGTTCCTAGAAATAAGCAGTCAGTTTTAGCCTAATAATTCTGAAAGGGATCCACGCCTGCCTGTCAGTGTCAGGCTTCTGTTGAAACGAAAAATACCTTAAGCAGGATTTCAGCAAAATAATTTTATTTTCTAACACGTGGACGTATACATACCCACACACATCCAATATGTGCAAATCTTGCACATCTATGAACGACTACCATATTTTCCAAATTACAACCATTGTGATATGTAATGTGCATGTCCTGTTATGTAGCTGAAATATTAAAAACGCTTAGACATTCTGAGTATATGCGATTGCTCAAAAAATTTTGGTTCAATTAGGTCTACACATTGGAAGCTTTGAAAAGCTACTACTTTTGCATCCAGATGAAGAGAGGGCAGCGCTGTCCACTAGCATTCCGTGTTCCAGAGAAATGCCATCAGTTTTTCTGGTGATGGTACCATTTGTTCACTGCATTCGGAGAAAAGAAAAACACATGAAAACTCCTGACATGGGAATCAAAAAGGATCCCCAACATCTCACAATGAAACAAGGGGCGCAAATATACTTGTTTGAATGGATCTTCTGTGGATTCCTTGATACAGACAAACAGGTGCGGAGACTGGCCCACGTGGGTCCCTCAACAGTGTCCACAGGCCCCATGAGCACTGAGAACACATAGCTGGCCAGTCTGGAAATGGCTGTGGCATTTGGGAGTGGCGATGAACGGGCTAGGCAGCACCTCACCTTTCCTCTCACAGATACATGTGTCTGGTATGGAGGTGTACACACATACACACTCCCCCCATGTTCATGATCTTAAGGTCAGTCTACTGAAATAGAGATCTTACCATCTGCTGGTATTGTGCAGCCAGATTCACAAGGTGGTGGTAACTAAAATAAAATAGAAAGAGGAGTTAGTCTAGTCCCAGAGAAAAATAAGCTACAAAGTAGACCGACACAAACACTTAACAATCTGAACAGAAGAACACTATCCCAAACTTTAGTCTTATTCATCTCAGTCTTAAGTGATAGTGTTCACATATAAATAAACAAATCTAAATACGTGGGGTCTCATTGCTAAATAGTCCTTTTTTCTTCTATCTGATGAGCAAGGTAACGAAAAAAACATCAGACTTCACTTCCTTTTGCTTTTTATTGAATATTGCAAACTTAAAATCATGTCTTTTGGTTAATCCAAATCAGACCATTAAACATCATATAAAAATATTTCTGTGATGAATAATTTACTGTCTCACGAGAAGACTTGGCCTAGTATTATAAACCACATTTACATGGTACTGAAAATTAGATAAATTCTCCAGTCTCCGTGATAACCAGGGACTGGTCAATTGGTTCGTTTGTGGGAATTGGCTTATGAAAGGCACATGACAGGTGGGTTGTTCGATACGCTCTGGGACCCTGTTGCCTTGTACAAGTCCCGCTACTCTGCCCTCTGAGGAAGGAGACGGGCGAGAACCCCCCTCAGCTTCTTTCCTCAAACGCTGACTTGTAGGTGTGCATGGCAAGCTTCACCGCCTATGCACACGGGAGGCACTAAAATATTTGCTGAAAGAAATAATTCTCTCTGTGCTTAGTACAGTTTTTAGTCACCAGGTGTTTTGGGGAAAGGAAGCGTTTACATACAGCATCCACAATGGCTTTGGCAGCACCAGGGTCACACTTGAAGGGGCTCTCCGACACGGTTGTATTCATGCTGTTAAATAAAACGAGATAGACAGGAGCCATGGTAACAGAAAATCCTCTTTTCCAAGCCAGAATATAGGCAGATGACATTCAGGTTTGGTTTAGTTGAGAGCTTTCTCATTCCCACCTGCATTAAACACTCTCCTTATTTACTCAGACAAGAACAGCTCTTCCTATAGCCAGCGTTCCTATATCTTAATTAAACTTCTATCTTATTAAGGTCAGATTTACGACCCTGAGCTTAAATGTGCAGTCATTCTCACTGAAACACATGGTTCGGTTCATATCTCAGTCGAGGAGCTCTGATGGGTGGTGGGTGATGCGATGGACTACTAACCACAAGGCCACCGGTTTGAACCCATTAGCCGCTCTGCGAGAGGAGGAGGAGTCTGCTCCTGTAAACACTGACCCCTAGGAAGTCCTAGGTAGCAGTCCTACTCTGTCCTATAGGGTCACGAGGAGCTGGCATCATCCAGTGGCAGGGAGTGTGGTTTCTGGCTGGACACCCCAGTTAGGTGCCTAGAGCATAGGAACTGCTCAGTGCACATTCTGCTCTCTTCAGTGGTGGTCAGTTCCGTGCGCAGGGTAGACAGTGGTTTACTTGCAAGGCATCCTGTCTCCTTACACCAGCCCTGGCATTCTACCTCATTCTCATCCCCTGCATCCCTTCCTTCCCCAGTCAGCGCCACAGAGCTGATCTCACCTGTTCCTTTACAGTTTTGGTTGTATGCATTCGGAGAAGGTGTAATGGATACTTCTCAGTTGTTTGGGTCAGGATTTTATCTTTCTACTGACTTGACCACTGAGTGACAAGCCTAGCGATCCCTGTTCTAAGTGGATGGACTGGTCTAGGATCTTCTGGTCAGCTGTGTATTAACCAGGCACAGAAGAGCACTCACCAACTGATTCCTTTTCCATCTGTTTTCTTAGTCACCAGTGCTTTCCAATGGTCATGGGTGCTTTTAATAATATCCACGGCAAAATCCTACAATTTGACAAAGTAAGCATTACAATGATTGAAAAGTGTTCTTTCCCCGTTATTAACACTTCCCCAAATTTGGTATTTTGAGCCTTTTGAATTACTTTCTTGGGAAAAATAAATGAACAAACTTCTTGAGATTATTATTATTCTATAGATTATATATGCTTTAGATGGTAATAGTATAGGTAAAGCCTGAATACAATTAGGCCTAAATCTACAGATGTGAAGGACATTTATTACCTTATCTTTAAATTCTGCATTGAAAGCAAACTCGTTTTCTGGTTTTCCATCAGGAACCTTGTACCTTCTGAACCAGTCCACAGTAGCTTCTAGATATCCGGGCTTCAGACGTTTGACATCATTAATATCTGAGAATAAGCAGATTGCAAGTTGTATTCAAAATATCGAGTAAGCTGTGGGACAGCTTACTTACTGGCAATGGCTCACACCTGCTGGAGCTGACGTCCTAGCTGCAGAGAGAACATATACTCCCTTTAAAAGGAAATCGTCTCGTACCTTAGAATAAAACCA